ACGAGCGCGAGCCGCCTTTGCTTGACGCCTTTGTATACGCTCTTTGAGAGTAGAACGGGCACTTTTGACCAGAGTTCATTCCTCCGTCGTAAGCTATGCAGAGATGTGATTGGTTTGCCGTTGAGGCAATTGGTTCCCCTTTTGCTTTCTCGACTTTAAGTCCGTATAGTAATGGACTCCGTCGGTTTGTTGCATGGCCTTAGCCAATTGACGAGCGCGGCGCTGGCGCTGTCTCTGGCGAGCCCTCTTCGTCATTATCGGCTGGCCATGATTCAATGACTCTTTAATTGGTGCAGAGTCATTGAGAGCAGAGATGTTGCAGGAAGATTCCTTGGCGATGACTTGGCAAGAATCTTCCTCTGCGGTCTTCATCTGAATTGGAGACTTGGAAACCTTCTTTGAAGAAGAAATCTTCCTGCACTTGCGGGATGAGGAAGATTTTGAGGATGAGGATGACAAGTACTCCTCGAATTTTGCTTGATCGAATTCGTATTCGATCTCTTCAGTGACGATGATTTTGATCGGCTGCGACACTGCGGCCTCGGCAGCGAGGCCGCTGGCTCCCACTGTGGTCGCCAGTTTGTTTTCAGCGAAAGTTGACTCCATTGTCGATTCCATTAAACTTTGATTTGTTTACACGAAATTACAATGAAAATAAAAGAAAATACAACTCTCGAGAAAATAACACAGAAATTGTCTATCAACTCCTGTTTTGTGGGACTTTGCCTGTGCCGTGAGTGCTTTAGCTCGTTGACCACCGATTCAAAGATCGTGAGGGTGTTTAGGGATCTCTCCTTCGTTTATCGAAGTAAAGATTTGAAAACGAATATCTTATCGATGTAAGATGTCCGTTCTTCCAAAGATCAAGTCTGAGCTTAGATCTCTAGGAATCACCGAATGATGCTTGTCAAATGGTGAAAATTCTCTCTTTTTCAAAATCACTGAAAGCTCAAGCCTCCTCTGCTCCAAAATGCTCTCTGTCCTTTATTTCGTGTGTAGGGAGGTATTTATAGGGGTCTCAGTGCACCACAGTTGAAACGGGGGCAAAATAACTGACCGAATGTTTTCTCTTTGGCCGTGCAGTCTACACTACCGCGGCTATTGGCGCGGCAGTATAGGATGCCGCGGCCAAAGAGACGGTTATCAGCACGTTCCATCGTGCTTAAAACCGTTCTCCCACGACCTTTAACCACTTTTTTCGTGGTTTAACTGCTTGTCCACGTCAGCACACGTTCTATTTCTGATACGCCGCCACATGGACTTCAAAAATCATCGAATAACTACCTTACACCATGGGCTGCCGCGCCTTAGCCGCGGCACCATTGGCTGCCGCGCCACAGTGCTGCCTGATGACGTGTATATCGTTCTTCTATGTTGTTTTGAGTGGTGTTTGGACGTCTGTAAGCAATTTTTGACGCCTACATATATCTAATGGCAATAATCGATACTTCTTTACTTTTATTGAAGGTTTTATAAGGAAAATATAGGTCTACTTTTTACAGTAAAAATCTGAAGTCTTAGTTGAGAAGGAAAGCAGTTACTTTATCAAGGTGCTACGAACAAATGGAGGAGGTGAATATACTTCTAATGAATTCAATAAGTATTGTGCAGAAGAAGGAATAAAGTGTGATGTCATGCTAAACGGAAAAACCGAACGATACTTGACATGGAAAGAAACATGCTAAAAGTCAAAGGTATGCCCAATTGTTTTTGGGGTGAAGTTGTCTCATGCACTGTATACTTGTTGAATAGGTCACCAACAAAGCGTGTTGATAAGCTTACTCCTGAAGAAGCATGTACTGATTATAAGCCAAGTATAAGACATCTCAAAGTGTTTGCCTCCATTGCTTATATTCCAGCAGAAAGAAGAAAGAAACTTAATGACAGAGGCGAGAAGACAGTTTTTATTGGCTATAAGTCCGGGGGCTACAAACTCTACAATCCTACTACAAAGAAGGTGATTGTAAGCAGAGATGTTATGTTTGCTAAAGAAGAAGCTTGGAATTGGGATCTAGAAGCACAAAACAATCCACGACGTATTCTCCTTGATATTCTTGAAAACGATATCCCTGTTGCAACTGAAGAAGCACCACCGGCCAATGCTCCTAAAGCTCTAACCCCACAAGTTCCATTAGAAGTTGAAAAATCAAGAAGAAATCGCCAACCATCAGTTCTCTTGAGAGATTATAAAGTAATTCCAGATGATGATGTTGATGCAGATGAAAACATAGTGCACTTTGCAATGTTTGCAAATTGTGAGCCAGTTATGTTTGAAGAGACTATTCGAGATCCTAAGTGGATAAATGCAATGAAAGAAGAGATAAAGACGATAGAGAAGAACGATACGTGGGAGCTTCCTAATATCCTGTAAGGACAAAGCACTTGATATGAAGTGGGTTTTCAAGACAAAGATTAAGGTGAATGGCGAGGTTGAGCGGCAAAAAGCAAGATTGGTGGCGAAATGCTACGAGCAAAAGCCTGATTATGATTACCAAGAGGTATTTTCCGATGTTGCTTGAATTGAAACTGTTAGACTAATAATTATCATGGCTACACAGAAGCATTTGAATATTCATCAGATGGATGTGAAGTCAGCTTTTCTTAATGGGTCACTTGAAGAAGAAGTTTTCATGAAGTAGCCACCTGGATTTGTAAAGAAAGGATGCGAGCATAAAGTATACAAGTTGAGAAAAATACATTATACAGGCTGAACCAGGCGCCGCGAGCTTGGAACAAAAGAATTGATTCTTTCTTTTAAGAAAGTGTATTTCAGAAGTGCCCCTCCGAGCATGCCTTACATGAGAAGATAAACAACTCTGGTGATATACTACTATTATGCCTTTATGTTGATGACTTGATTTTTACGAACAATAATATTAGTATGATTGAATATTTTAAGAAGTGGATGATGCATGAATTTGAGATGACAGATCTTGACTTGATGTCTTATTTTCTCGGCATTGAAGTAGTTCAAGGAGATGATGGGATTTTCATATGTCAAAAAAGGTATTGTGCATAGTTATTGAAGAGGTTTCAAATGTTTGATTGCAATCTTGTTAGAATTCTTGTGTAGGTTGGTACTAAATTATCTCGAGAAGGTGATAGTGCACAAGTTGATCCTACCTATTTCAAGGAAATTGTTGGGAGTTTGAAATATCTCACATGTACAAGGTCAGATATAGCCTATGGGGTTGGTCTAATCAGCAGATATTTGAAGGCCCCTTGCCAATCTCATCTACAAGTTGTAAAGAAAATTATGTGGTATCTAAAGAGGACTTATGATCATGGTTTGTTTTATTCTTCATCTAACAATTATGATGTTGTAGGCTATTCTTATAGTGATTGAAGTGGAAATCATGATGATCGTAAAAGTAATTCTAGCTATGTCTTCAATTTTGGCACCACCATATTTTCATAGTCGTCGAAGAAGCAGTCTATTGTTGCACTCTCACTTGTAAAGCGGAGTATGTAGCAGCTATGTCGAGTGTTTGTCAAGCAATTTGGTTACGTAATGCACTAAGTCAAATTCACATTCAAGTTGAAGGTCCTACAAAATTTTATGTTGACAACAAGTCCGCAATTGATTTGGCAAATAATCCGGTCACTCATGGAAGGAGCAAATATATTCATACTCGTTATAACTTTTACGAGACAACATTGAGAAGAACGAGATCATGTTGATTTATTGCAAGTCTGAAGATCAAGCTGCGGACATCCTCACGAAACCTTTAAAGTTTGAAGCGTTTGTCAAGTTGAAGCATATGATGGGAATGAAAACTTTACAGAATTAGGATTAATGCGGGATGCTGAAGTTAATCCTAATTCTAAAAGGATTTGAGTTAGTTATCTCTAGGAATTATAATCATACTAGAATTCTATTATGAAACACTTTGTAAAGCCTTTTAAATAGGCATTCATGCATCCTTGTACCCAAGAGGAAAAAAAGACAGATATTAAAAAAATCCGGCTACTGTAACTACAGTGCTATAATAACAGAGTTATAAAAAATCTTTTTTATTTGCTTCTCCCACTAAATCTCTCCTCATACATATTATACTTCTATTTGTTTTGCTATTGATTGTTCCAACAGGTAGAAGAAGACGTGGATGCTAAATTAGAAGTAAAACCTTTCTGATTGAAAATATCACTATATTACATCAAATGATACTTTAAATGATCAAACTAGCCTTGGATAAAAGGAAAACAGAAAATAAGCTAAGTTTTTCATAGTAGTTGCTAGCATGCTGATGACTCTACCATAGTTGTTACCTTTTGTTTTGGGAGGTGGGTTTGGGGGTGGAGGGGTGCGTCTCTGTTAACTGCAGCATCTGTTCCCTAGAGAGAAGGCTCTGCCCACGGTTTGTAACACTCCCTGCTAAAAAAGAGAAACTATAAAAGGTGGACATCTCAAGTCAAATAACTCAAAGACATTGCAGTAATCACGAAACTATTTTGATCTGTCGTAAGAGCCATTCCATGACCTTGAGTGTGGCATTGATTCATTGCTATGGTGAATTTGTCGCTGCAAAAGTAACATTTAAGAGAGAACAAGGGAAAGAAAACAGAAACAACGAACAGATAGACAAATAAACTTCACCACTGATGTACCGTTAAATGTATGTGCATTATCTTAAGCTGGTAAGTATGTCAAGCTGAACCTGGGAAAAGGGTTTAGCTATTCATACCAGATAATTTGGCACACAGCACTTCACATATTCAGCGCAATTAATATTCAGCACAGCGGAGTTAAATGATTGACAGCGATCTTAATTGATAACTGGCATATAATAAAATGTTAAAGAATTTCAACTTTTAGAAAGATAATCAAGCACCTACACATAAAAGAACCAGCCAAACGTTAGATATGAGGATGATACGGTACCTCATCGACATAATAAAAAACACAATGAAACTCAGTTGTATACATTTAAAATTTCGAATAATCAAGCACCTACGCATAAAAGAACCACCCAAAATATCCAGAGGAATTAATTGATCAACATTGATCTTAATTGATTACCAGCATATAGTAAGATGTTAAAGACTTTTCACTTGTAGAAAGATAATCAAGCACCTACACATAAAAGAATCACCCAAAAGTTAGATATGAAGATGATAAACAGTACCTCATTGACATAATACAAACACAATTAAACTCAATGGAATACATTTGAATTTTAAATAACCTAACAAAAGTGATAATAATTGGTTTCTTATGAACACATGGAAATATTAGTCATGATTTGACTTATATTTTGTTGTATCCTACCTGAATTCTTACCTTGTTTTATATTAAATATATTATTATTTTTCCCTTATCTATTATATTACATGCAAAACACGACTTCGACGGTCTTTTCTAACAAAAAAATATAACTTTCACATGTTTTATACAATTATTTTGTATTTTTTTCCGCAAAGCAGAAACTTAGCCATAATAAAGTAAATGACGATATATGTACAGTTACAGTAAACCTTTATACAATCGTGTCCTTGTGTCTAGACATTGGAGAACTTACATGTTTGGTACCTTTGGTTGCAGATGTAAAGGCATGCAAAAAGGTTACTGCGTGACCTGTTAGTCGTTCATCTTGTCCTCTGTGCTTAGGAATCAAGGTTTCTGTACAACAAAACCAGAAACCGACATGTTTTAGGGATTTGAGACAGTCTAGATCTCAATCTTCATGCCGATATGATATTCACATCAACCAGAAGCCAACTTGTTCCAGGGTTTTGAGACAACCTAGATCTCAATCTTCATGCCAGCGCAGTATTCACATCAACCAAAAACCAAAACGTTCACGGGATTTGAGACAATCTAGATCTCAATCTCCATGCCAACGTTGTATTCACATCAAGTTGAAGTACCTGGAGAGCGATCATTAGTCTCAATATTCTGTAATTATTAACCTGGGTATCAATATTGTGGTACAGATATTTTTCAATAGGATCACATTAGCATGCTAAAAATATGAGTTTTCAGACCGATCAGTCGACCGATGACATAGCATCAGTCGACCGACCAACGGTCAGAAGCCCAGTAATGACTAGTTTTTGGGCTGTTTTGCTATAGAGGCTATATATATGGCTCATAACTCATTTGTTTCACTAAGAAGGTTTACAAAATAGTTTTGACAGTTTGTTTTAATGGTTTTTGAGAAAAATCAAGTTTGTTTTATCACTTTATGTGAAGAGAGTTTCACAAAAAGGAGAATCGAAATTTCATCCTTGAGGAGTTTAACCTCAATTCTTCATCCCTCTTTGTTTAGAGAAGTTTATCTAAACTCCATTATCTAGCTTATTTTTCTTTTTGATTCTTATATATATTTGCTAGATTAATTTGAGTTTAATTTTCGTTATACTCATTGTTTATATACACAACCACTTGAGCTTGAGTATTTCACATATCGTATATTTGGGTTGTGGGGTTGTATCGTTGAGTGAGCTTAAATTTCGTTCTCAACTTGTTTAGAGAACAAATCTTTACTTGCACATATTGTTGTAACGCGTTGGAATGCACAAGAACACTTAGAGAAGTGGTTGGGAGAAGAACGTGATCAATTCCAAGAGGAGTGGTTTGGTTGTAAAAGCCTAATGAGAGGTAGTAATTCCAAACATTTGAGAAAGGTGACACAGGTCAGCCAACACTTAGAGAAGTGTATTGTGTGATTGTCAACGTGTATATTGCAAAAGTTTTCGGAGAGCTTGGGAAACCAATTCTGTAGTTATTTGTGTTGTGGTTAGTGGAGAATCTCCTCGAGGGTGAGGAGCGGAGACGTAGGTCGAGGATTGACCGAACTCCGTGATCATATTGCTGGTTTGTGTTTGGCATTGACACACTTATTCTTGTGTATATTTTCATATCGCCTATTGTCTCATGTTTATATTGATCTTTGTTTAATTCTATATCCTTGCATATATCTCTTGTATACATCATTCCTATAAAGTTTAGCTTGTTTGATGCTAGCTAATCATCTATCCCCTTGGGGGGGAACTTATCGTAAGATTACTACATCACGTTTAGAGATGTAAATGACACCAGAAAGGGAAAAATACACATATATGAGATAGAAAATCAAGTAAATTTGTATTTTCATATTAATAAGAGTTGACACATTTTTCATAAATACTTAACTCGAATAGCGAGAAGCAAATACATAACGTTTATTGATTTGATCTCTCAATATCCAAGAGCCTCCATGAAAACTCAGAATACAAATTTCACAAAATATACCAGAAATCCAATAGTAATAATCAAATAATGGATATTTAATTATTTATTTTGCATTAATATTTTTGTTGGTGCTCGTAACGGAATTTTTATATCCATACAAGATGTTGGTTGTGAGTGCAAGTTGTGCATAATTTCAGCCCCAACGCAGAAATCAAACATGCTTCATTGTATGCGATTGATGCAACTCTATAACAAGTCTAATCACTACATATGTTACTGCTTGTGCTTTTCAAAAAAAATGATTGAAATGCGCAAAGTGACAAATCTTTATTCGCTGCAAGCACTGATAAGAATCTTATGCAAAATAAAGTCGGCATGCTCTTGAATAACTTGTTGAACAGACCACAGGAAGAGAGAGAGAGGACATTGCAGACAATGGAACTGAGCTAGGCCAAGGTCAGGCCCCCGATAAGCACTACAGCCTACATCTAAGAGGCTGCAGCGCAGGCCTAACCATTCCATGACCAACACATTGTCCAAGTCTCAACATGACTACATGAATGAATCTTGCGCAGGCAGGCCAGCCACTCCCGATCATATCCACAGGCTAAGCACACCCGATCACAGTGCCACATAACTCCACCCAGAGTATAAGGTGCTGATCGCGCTGCAGTCGTGCACAGGAGACATGCAGCATGATGTGTCTTATTATCAGAATACTGTAATAATGGGGAAATACTGGTGATTTGTAATCTTTTTGATATATTGTATGCTGCATTTCTCAAGAAAGAATTGCATGCATTGAAAATGTTCATATCCCAAAGGTGAAAAGAGCAGATTGCACATCAAGCACCAGACAGAAGAACGTTATGTATATATTGAGAAAGTAAGACTTTCATGATTCCATAATTAGGCACTTAAACAAGTGAAAATTATTGGTCATAAATGTTATATTCATTGAAAATTGAACTGTGTTAAATGCACAGTGGTAGACAACCTAGCACTTGAGTTATTGAAGTTAGATAAACACAAGAGTTAATACACATCATTAATAAAATGGGTAACCTCTCTAACTTTCATAGAAACCAACAAGGATTCAAAATTTGAATTTCCGTATGCAGAACTCCAATTAGAATCAACAAGAGCCAACAAATTCATCTGGACAAAAAAAAGTTGATGGAAGGAGCCAAAGACAAAAAAAAAACATCCAGACAAGATATGTATTTTTTGGTGATAAATTACATGTGTGGTTGTGAAGGAGTTCTAGTCTCTACAGTTAGTATTGGTTGGAGACTATAAGTAATTAAGAATCACTATTGAGATGAGAACGATAAAAAAACAACAAGAGAAATGTAAGGAATCTTCTCTTAGAAATATTTGCGGCGGTCATTGGAAAGATGAAATAATATCCTTTAAGGATACCTAGATCAAGACAGTAGTCCACATCTTCTTTAAGATAACAACTTATCCTCCATCTTCATCTTCCGAGCTCCTTCAACCGTCATAAGGTTAAATGTCGGATGAATTATAGTGGTCAATTGCTAATTCATTTTCTGATCATAGAAAACAATACATCATGCAATGAATAAATTCAGAACGAACGACAGGCAAGCAGATCTTCAAGGATGAACCTAGAGAACAGATAAATCCCATTAAAAGGATTGATTTCTGCTAGTCAATTATAAGACATTTAATTACCATGATTAGATTCAATGCTAAACAATAGATCTAAGATTCTAAAGTATTTAATTGATTATCCACATTGTTGTGTGCCCATCTACTAGTTTTAGAAGGCTAAATATCGGAAGAAAAAAGAAACCCCCAACTTTAAAGATTTTTTCAGAAAACCTACCTAACAACTTTAACCACAATTTTCACATGAGCGGGCAAAATTACGTTGGGGGGAATTTTTGCCGGAGAAAATTGCAGTTCACACTTTTAGAGGGGTTTCCGATAAAAACTTAAAAGTTAAAAGGGGGTTTTCTAAGAAGAAATTTTCTAAACAAACACATTCACATTTTTTTTAAATCGACCCCCTTGAGTTTTTTTTACAAAAATCAATCCATTTTTTTTAATCCGGTTCCTAAATAATTGGGATTGTCAACCCCGACTATTTAGGTGGTTGCTAAACCCCAATTACAACCCTAAATCCTAACATTCTATACACTAAATAGTCGGGATTGACAACCCCGACTATTTAGGAACCGGATTAAAAAAATGGATCGATTTTTGTAAAAAAAACTGTTGATATTAGTTGGCCCAAAGGATGTTGATGGCCTGTTACCTAAAAGCCCAGTTCCCAACTACATTTACCCTAGCCCCCTCTATTCCTCTCTCCTATCCGATGGTACTCAATCTCTTCCCATTCTTCGTGTTCTGATGGTCGCCGCTTGGAGTCTCATCTCCCATCTCTATAGGACGGCTTCTACCATTCGAAACCCTAGCCTCTCTCCCGTGTCGGCTGCCCCCTTCTCTATATAAGTCAAGGGTTGGTAGTAGCTCGAGGAGAGAAGGAAGAAGAGACAGTGACGAGATCTTGAGCTTTGAGCTCCTCTGCTGTGTGCGATCCTCTCCTCTCTTCTGTGAGCTTTGTGCTCCTGTGAGCTTTGTGCTCTCACCCCCTTTGTGCGATCCCCTTTCCTCTTTGTGAGTGACTGAAGGAGAAATTAGTGAGCTCTCTCTTTGTGTTCTTGGTGGTGCACTGCTGAGAAGAACAGTGACTGATTGAGCAGACTTCTGAGCCAAACATCAACGACGATGATCCATAACAGTGGTATCAGAGCGAGGTTGAGTCGTCGCCGCTGCTGGGCTTCGTTGAGCCGTCGGACCTCCGCTGGGCATTCGGTGTAGGCCGCTCAGAACTCCTCCTGCGGCCTTCCGATTGAAACCGTCGCGACCGCCGCTATGTACGTTGAGCCGGCGTATCGTCAGCTGGGCGTTTGTTGAGCCCGGTGGATGGCCGGCAAGGATCGTCGCAGAGCCGCCGCTGGACTGCCGAGCAAGTGGGTAAGGTCGAAACTCTCTACAGTGGGTTTCGCTCAGGTAATCGCTGGTTTTTGTTGAAAAACGGTTCCTGTTGCTTCTGTTTTTTGATCTCGTCTGCATGGTCCCTTTATTTGATGCTATATCAATTGTTCCCCATTTCCACTGTGTTTAATTATGATATTGAAAATTACAGTTAAGCTCTAGCTTTGTTGAAAAATTTTCAGAAACTAAAATTGGTTTGTGCTCGTGCGAAAGAACAAAGGGTCTGAACCCGAGCTTTGTGCTCATCATTATTCCTATTTTGTTTGTGCTAGTTGCTTCGCAAATTTGAAACTTTTTCGGCTATATTTGCATTTTATTTTTTTCTGAAAAATTTTCTGTTATTGTTTGTGCTCGTGTGAAAGAACAAAAAGATTGAAACAAGAACTTTGTGTTCATCGTTCTTCTCATTTGTTCATGCTAGTTGCTTCACACGTTTCGAGCCGGATAATTACCGAAATCAGATTTGTTCGTGCTAGTCGTGGTGATACCATTGTTTGTTTTTCTGTGTGAAGAATGTTTGTTGCTAATCAATATGGTATGGTTCCGTTCAACGGAAAATCTGATTTTAGCATTTGGAAACAAAAAATAAATTAATAAAATACATTTTAATTCAACAGAAGTCTTTTGGGGCTGTTAGTCAGACTTATTTGACTTCTGATACTGAAGAAAAAAGGGCTAAAATGAACAAAAATACTTGTTCCACAATTTATTTGAACTTATCTGACTATGTGCTTAGAAAAGTTAGAATTTTGGAATCTGCTAAAACCCTTTGGGATAAACTTGAAGAACTCTATACTAAAACCTCTTTGCCTAGTAAAATGTTTTTGCTTGAAAAAAATTTCAAATTTAGATTGGATATGTCTAAGGATATTGAGGAGAACCTAGATGTTTTCATAAAACTTATTTTAGATATTAAGTTAACTGGTGATAAACATATAGGCGACTATACTCCTATTACCCTTCTAAATGCTATTCTTGACTCATATAGTGATGTGAAATCTGCTATTAAATATGATAGAGATGAGGTTACCCTTGACATTATGGTCAATGGTCTTAAGAATAAGAAATTAGATTTAAAACATTCTGGGGAAAATAATAATTTTGGTGAGGTTATGCATGTGAGGGGTAGGTCTCAGAATAGGTCTAATAACCAAGAGAATGCTAGTAATAGAGAATCAAGTAGGGAAAAATCCAAAAATAGAAGGGGTAGATCTAAGTTTAGATCTAAAGTTAAAAGATGCTATAACTGTCATGAAACTGATCACTTTATTAGAGATTGTCCTAAGCCTAGGGAAAATCAACAAAATGATCATACTAATATGGCTATCTGTGAGAGCGAAATAGGTAAAATTTTCATAATTAATAATCTATGTGATTATGCATATTTGAACTCTGTGTTATCTGATTCTTTCTGTAAATCAGATTGGTTGGTAGACTCGGGTTGTACTTTTCATATGACTCCTTTTAAAAATATGTTTTCAAACTACAAGAAAATAGAGAATGGCTTTGTGTCAATGGCAAATGAAAAGAAATGCAATGTTTTAGGAATTGGTGATGTATGCCTTAGGTTTTCTTCTGGTTCTATGTTTACTTTGAAGGATGTTAGGCATGTTCCTGATTTACGTTATAACTTGATTTCTTGTGCATCTCTAGAAAATGATGGTTTAGAGGAAAAATGGGGTAAAGGGGTTATGAAAATTCTGAAAGGGTCTCTTGTTATTTTTACTGCTGAAAAACAAAATAACTTGTATGTTTATTATGTTGAACATGTGCTTGGTTTTGTTAACTCTGTGATAAGTGATAAACCTGTTTTATGCCATAATAGATTAGGTCACATGAGAAATAGAAGATTTTGAAATTTTGCATAAATGTGATCACTTTGGTAGTGACAAAGGATCCTCAACAGAGAGGATGAATAGAACTCTCTTAGAGAGGGTGAGGGCTATGTTGATCACATCTGGTCTCTCTAAGAAGTTTTGGGGAAAAGCTGATTGTACTGCAGCCTATTTGATTAATAGGTCTCCCTCTGTTCCCTTAGGAGGGAAATACCCTGAATTTGTGTTCACGGGCAAACATCTTGATTTAAATTTGAGAATTTTCGGGTGTGCTGACTATGTGCATCAAAGGATTGATAAGTTAGAACCTAGATCTAAGAAATGTGTTTTCTTAGGGGCTGTTTGGTTGCACACTTTTTGAGAAAATTTTTCTCAAAACATCTGACAATGGTAAATTTATAATTAAAAGTTTTCCAGAGATTTCTGTAAATTGTGTTTGGTTCAACAAAAAATTTACAGAAATATTTTCTATAAAATATCAAAACCTACCAAATTTTACAAAAAAACAATTTCCTCTCAAAATGAGAGGAAATCACCAGAGAAATCTGACACATACCATATTTAATTAAAAACCTATCAAATCTTGTTATTTTCTATAAAGTTATGAGCTATTTTCTTGTTTTGAACCAAACAAGCAAAGTACAAAAAATAAGAAAATTGGTACTTTTTTATTTCTCAAAACTTTTCTTATAATTTTTTTTAAGAAATACAAGAAAATCATATTTTAGGTGGAAAATATTTCCTATAATTTCTAGAAATTGAACCAAACACCCCCTTAGGATACCCTAAAGGGGTAAAAGGTTATAGACTTTGGAATAAAAGTGAACCGGGGTTTAAGGTAGTGATAAGTAGAGATGTTATTTTTAATGAAAATGAATTTTCTTGTTTACTTTTATCTGTTCCTATTTTTGAAAATGATGCTCTAAATGAGGTAGAGCAAATGAGGTGGAGCAAATGCTTATTATTAATCAACCTGAATCACATCCTGAAGATATAATTATTAAAAATTAAGATGAGATTATTCCTAATAAGGTGGAGCATGATATGCAGAAAATAGATAACATGCATGATTTGAATGATTATCAACTCACTAGGGATAAAAATAAAAGAACCATTAGGAAACCTAAAAGGTATAGAGATTACAATTTGAATAATTATAATATGTCTGAGTTTGCCTTTAATATGTTTGAATCCCTTGAGTGCAATGAACCTAAGACTTATAGAGTTCGGTCCTTTGTGGACTTGGCATTGAATTTCGACTTTGGGTAAATTTTTTCCCCTTTGCTTTGTGTGTTGCCTTTGTGGCCTATTAACTTTGCTTTGTGCTTGTTAGTAGCTTTGTGGTTTTTTCCCTTTGAACTCGATGACCGTTTGGTAGAGTTCGGTCCTTTGTGGACTTAGTATGCTTGGTGATCTTACCCCAATCTTTGTGATCTGAGTTTACTTTGTGTATTCTCTTCCATTGCTTGTATCTTCTTTGTGATCATACAGGGATCTGAGTTTACTTTGTGTATTCTCTTCCATTGCTTGTATCTTCTTTGTGATCATACAGGTAATGGTTTGGCGATGATGAGTTTTGTGTATTCTCTTCCATTGCTTGTATCTTCTTTGTGATCATACAGGTAATGGTTTGGCGATGATGAGTCTTGTAGTTCCGTGTTTTTTCTATGCACTACCTTGGGTCAAAGGTGGAGATTGTTGATATTAGTTGGCCCAAAGGCCTGTTGATGGCCTGTTACCTAAAAGCCCAGTTCCCCACTACATTTTCCCTAGCCCCCTCTATTCCTCTCTCCTACCTGATGGTACTCAATCCCTTCCCATTCTTCGTGTTCTGATGGACACCACTTGGAGTCCCATCTCCCATCCCTGTAGGACGGCTCCTACCATTCGAAACCCTAGCCTCTCTCTCGTGTCGGCTGCCCCATTCTCTATATAAGTCAAGGGTTGCTAGTAGCTCGAGGAGAGAAGGAAGAAGAGACTGTGACGAGATCTTGAGCTTTGAGCTCCTCTGCTGTGTGCGATCCTCTCCTCTCTTCTGTGAGCTTTGTGCTCCTGTGAGCTTTGTGCTCTCACCCCCTTTGTGCGATCCCCTTTCCTCTTTGTGAGTGACTGAAGGAGAAAATCAGTGAGCTCTCTCTTTGTGTTCTTGGTGGTGCACTGCTGAGAAGAACAGTGATTGATTGAGCAGGCTTCTGAGCCAAACATCAACGACGACGATCCATAACAAAAACTCAAGGGGGTCAATTTTTTTTAAAAAAATGTGAATGTGTTTGTTTAGAAAATTTCTTCAGTTTTCTAACGACCCATAAACTTAAGGCGGTTATCCGATACTTTGAAAGTTATGGGGTCATCTGATAACCGTCCAAAGTTCAGGGGTTTTCTGATATTAGCCTTTGTAGAACTCTGGATAGACACCAAATAATCAAAACCACTTAAGAAACTATAGACTAAAAGAAGAGACCCCAAACTGGCATTAAGGCACCAACCTTGCTAACTTACAACCAGATCACATCAAATGAACCTTTTTTCTTCCCCTTCCCAATTTCACTATTTCACATTTCTAATCGGGTATCAAGGAAACATAAACATCGAAATCAATCCGATCTCCATCGCAAATTAGTACTAAAGCCAGAGAGAAATCATTAACAAGCAAACCCAAAATCCTAAAAAAAAATTAAAAAAAAAGACAAAATGGAGAAGGAAAAAATCTGAGAAATCGAGAAGAAAACCTTGAGAATCCGGTAGCACATCACCTTGGCCATCCCCGCCGCGTGCTTCTCCCTCAAATCGCCCGCAATAAGGCTGAGATCAGCGATCACCGGCTTCGAATTATAAACCAACTCAACCAAAAACTCATCATAGATCTTCACCGTCTCCAGGGTCCCAGCGGGGCCCTTCTCCTCCTCCTCCTCCTCCTTCAGCCTCGACCGGAGCTGCTCGAGGATCGAACGGCCCCCGTTCTCGCTTCCCGAGGTTTCTGCTACCGGGCTCCATTAGGGTTTCTAATCTCTAGGGTTTGTGGATTTGTAGGCTTCGGGGAGATGGATGGGGGGTTTTTAAGTTTGGAATTGGCGCCGGTTCTGCTGAGGATTTTTTTTTTTCTTTCTATTTTTGGAAGCTCGCGTTCGAAAAGTGCTTGCTCGCTCAGGCACCGTTTGGCAAAGGGTTAAGGAAGAGGGATTAAGGAGAAGGGTTAACTTAGTTAATCCATTGTGAAGGGTTAAAAATATTCTAATTCCGTTTGGATTCGCTAGTTAAGACAAGGGGTTAAGACTTTTGTGTTTGGCAAATAAAGAAGGGATAAGAAGATTAATCTCATTAATTTTTTAAAAAATACCACTTTCGCCCTTACTGAAAATTTATAACTAATTGCCTCATTAATATCTTTTTTGCGTTATTTATCTTCTGAGCAATTTCAAAGATTTGAAGCGCTAATATGTAATTTAGTTGAGACACGAGGGATAAATATTTTTTTGAAATAACGCTAAAATGACAATTTGGTATTATTCAATAAATGATTGTTCAGAAGGAAAATTAAAATAAATCATCATTTCACATTATTTCAGCTGCTAAAGAGAGATAATGAGCTAACAAAATATTATATGGTTTCTTCTCTATCAATAAAACTGGCAAAAAAATGATTATTCAATAAAAAATATATTTGATTATTCAAGGAAAAAACAATCCACCCAATAGATCTGTATAAAACTATAAGTTTTGCTCATATAAAAATAGTAAAAGACATAATTCAACCTCCTTATACTTCAATATTCGACAACTACATATTTCAATTATTCCAAAGCTGTAAAGCAATCCTGTTGCGAAGCTGCTCACCCCTTAAACTTTCATCTGCACCAACCATGTATTGGGGGTCTTCTTCCTCCTCCACCTCATCTTCATCCTCATTCATCTCTAATCCATTAAGCATATTAAAGTATTTATCATTTCCCTGATGCCTTGCAATAAAATTATGAAGAACACAACAAGCTACAACGATTTTGACTTGAGTTTTATAAGGAAATGGAGCAGCAACTTTCAAAATTTTGAATCTTTGCTTTAAAATTCCCCATGCTTTTTCTACTGCATTACGTAGTTGTGCATGTCTATGATTATATTTGTCTTTAGTATCTCGATAGGCTCTGGTTGTCCTGTTTGCAAAATCTCCAAGATGATAGCGTGATCCACGATATGGGGCGATAAATTTTGAAGTATTAGCATATCCTGAGTCAACTAAGTAAAAGTGACCTACATATTTAAAATTATCTGACTTTAATACCAATTGATTTTTTAAAAAAAGAGAAGGAAAAATATTAAAATTTACCTTCAGGAACATTAAATTTACCATCTTCCAGTGTTGCACGAAGTACTGACATATCAGATGCTGATCCCTCCCATCCAGCAGCCACATAAAGAAAAGTATGATCAAAGGAGTACGCTGCCATTACATTTTGAGATATGAAATTCTTTCGATTACGATACCTGTTGTGTTTCTTTTTCTTCACAATTACAGGAATATGAGATCCATCAATTGCTCCCAATGCTTTCTGCAAATATAAAAATGTATAAGGTTCTAATGTATAGAAACATACACACAGACACATTAAAAAGCCGGTGAAAAAAATATATGCATTTAGCTCTACCTTGAAATATGGGAAGAAATTGGGATTCTCTCGAATCTTAGGATGAACGTCTACGTCAGCCGTTGGAAGCTGGATATAATCTTGTTTCAAAGATAAAATAGCATTAAGCACGTTATTATAATGCCTGCTAATAGTCTCTCCTGAATGTTGAAATATCTCAGCTAATACTCGATTTGAAAGGGCATGCGAAATTCCGTAGAGAAATATACAAAGTTGTTCATTGCAGCTTAAATATCTAGTTGGCCTTAAAGCATTCTTCTCAATTAGAACATTTTTAAGCAAAAGAATTGCCTCAGAACTCATTCGAAAACAAGAATATGAACGATCAGGATGTCCAGCCAACATATCTTCTACAAGCATATGACCAGAGAATGGTCTAGTTCGACATGGTCGAGGAACCTGCTTCATCACATTTGATTGATGAATGATGCTCGTAATCATCTCGTTCCACATGTACTCATCACCATCTTCATCATTCAAAAGCAACGCCTCTATAAGATCATCTTCATCATCAAGTGCTTCAATATCATCAACACTAAGATTGCTTGCAAAATCTTCGAGAGAGCATGCTTTCAACTAACTTAAAAAAGAAAAATTTAGATCAACTATGTTGTAGAAGAATGGCAGCCAAGATTCAGCAGGCCTTTGTTCAGCAACAAAGAGAGAGATAAATAGAACATAAAATAAATCGAACTGAAATAAAAGTCTCAAATTACGCAGCAACAAACCCCAAGTTAAGATATAGATAAATAGAGGTGGAAATAAACATGTCTTGCGTCCAATAATGACAGTAAGGTTATTAGCTATTTAAGCGTTAGTAGGGCATCTCATACACAAAAGCAAATTGATCAAACTCAAGAAAATAGAGGAGCAACTCACACAATGAAAGACTGCAAACACTGCAAAAGCGAATGACCAACTTTGAATCAACAAAAAACAGGATGGTCTTTTTACAAACAACACAGTACAACTCAGCAGACTCCAACAAGAACTATGAAAACAGAGCCCAAATAAAGCGGACTCAACTCATCAAATCCAAACTAAATCAGCTTCTTTTTCTCTCCCTTCCTAAAATACACACAGAGATCTGCAATGAACTTCACATCGCTTCGTTCGTTCTCGCTTAACCTTAGGAACTAAGAAGCTAACCCATGCACTAATCGCGTATTCCTAGCAGCGTTTAGATCGCTAATATTTTGATCTAACATGCTTGTTGATTTAATACAACTGCTCACAAAAACATTAGTACAAAATACTTTTATTGCACCTTGATTTGAGTTTGACGCATTAGTACAACAATCGCAGAGGCTAAACAAGGCTCGAATTCAATGTGTAACGCGAAACAGTCTCAAAGCTCGACAACGAGCACAAATTCGAAAAAAAAAACCACAACAATCTGAGAGCTATAACGAAGCTCGAAAGCACGTGTAACTCGAAATCAGTCCAAAGCTTCGAGCAACGAGCCACAACAATTTCGAACGAAAAAACCCAACAATCGAGAGCTAACACAAGCTCGAATTCATTGTGTAACTGGAAACAGTCGCAAAGCTCGACAACGTGAGCACAAATTCGACAAAAAACCAGCAACAATGCCGAGCCAGCTAAAGCAAGCTCGAAGCGCACGTGTAACTGAAATCAGTCCGCAAAGCTCGACAACGAGCGCACAAATTCGAACAAAAAACCGCAACAATCGAATTCCGAGCTGAAACAAGCTCGAATCATGTGTACACTGGAAATCAGCACCAAAGCTCGACAACAAAGCACGAAATTCGAACAAAAAAACCCAATAGTCGACAATCAGAAAAGTAGAGCAACTATGATGAAATGGAAGATGAATGCATTGTTTGCTTAAACCAAATTCGTAATGCTGTGATCGAAGAAAATAAAAGATGCTAGGATATGACACATATGCAACATAGCTTCTGGGAACCTGGCATCTCCTTAACTTGCTAGCATCAATTAATGCTGTGCGTTAATGCTTCTGTACAATACTAAATAATCATGAAGTATGCAGGCCAACAAGAAAGCTTCAGCTCTCAGATTAAATCTGAATCCTGATCATTGCGAACAATCTAATGAGAGCTTACAACTATTTAATGTGGATCAATGTTGAGTTTATATATGCCAAATAAATAAAAATCAAAGTTGCAAAGGAGCATAATGACCGTATTTAGGACTTAGAAGCACATTCAAGCGACTACTAAAGCATTTATTGTAAAACATTTTTCTTAATCAGCGTCGAATTTAATTTAACGCTTTGATGTTACATTAGTTTCTATTGGACCATCCAACCTGCGGTATCAGAACAAAATTATGACTAATTATCTTCAAAATCAAGAAAAAGAAGTTCACAAATGAATAGTGATATAGTGACAGGTAAAATAAAGCTCGAATTATGCTTGTAACTGGAAACAGGATTCATATACGATCGATCATGAAAGAAAACTACACTTAGTTGAAATACCACCTAAACAATCGTTACACTGGGCAATAAACAGGTATTGTAGTGTCAGAACTGCCTTATCAATAGTTAGTAGCGACAAATTGTCATAATGCATTGCGAAGCATTAAAAAAAGTAAAATCAAAGTGCACAATTATTGTATTGCGAATGAACATTTAGCATATAGTGACATCAATGATTTACTTTGCACTGCTTGCTATTTTAGTAAAGAAAGTCTTTAACACATCTCCACCGAAACAACTATGTAAAGAGAAGAGAAACCGCATCACTTATTACAAAAGAAGACCACATCAGGATGCTATTAATTCATCAATGCCAAACGAAAAAAATTGAACCCTTTGTAGAGTAAGCGAGAAAGCCCAGCTATGTAGATTTGTTGATATGATTTTGGGATGTGGATGCCAATAATGTTCATCTTGATTATTTTTTCCCCTTTTTCGCCCCTAGTGTTTTCTTTCTCCTTTGCTTGAACATTTGAAATGATACATTGAACTACATTATTCTATCACCATTCTAGCCCTATTATGGCAAAAGAGACAGAAAATACACCAATAACTAGCAAATTAGAATGATATATAGGAGTTTTAGCGATAGTCATCATTTTGATCATGCAATGAGCATTACAGAATGGGCGGCGTATCAATATTCATTATGCATTAAACCCATCCATAAATTTTGTAACGGGAGTTTTATGGAACTGCATTAAACATGGTATCTATGGGCAAACTCAGAAAGAAAACTTGCCTCACATTATATAATCTACTGAAATCAGGAAGAAAAGAAAAGAAATCCGTCAAGTTATAATGACAATGCTCCGGCACAAAATTTGAATGATCACAATGCAAAGACAACGCATCCACCATATGATATAATCTAAAACATTAAAAAACATAATTTGATTGTCTGACAATAAAAAGTCACTCTTTGAAACATCAACTTCAACTAAAAGCAAAAAAAAACATAATAATAAACTAAATTTGATTAGTCTTGACTCTTGAGACTTGAACATAAAGCATCAATTTGGTACGAAAGTTTTGTTTCTCATTAAGTAGTTGACAAATGACCCCATCTCCTGCATGTTGATGTCATGAGCTTGTGACATTCGTGATTGACCCTGGAACTGGTGCATTAGAGGTGGTTGATGTTGGAAATTGTAAATAGGCGATGGATACGCGTCATTGCATTTTGTAAATCCATTTGTTTCTTGAGCCATGAATAATAGCATTTGACGTTAAGCATATTAACGACATGTCTATTCTCCTTCTTTTTAATAGCTTCTGCTCCTGCCACACATAGATCACTAGTTACACCTGATAATTTCATTATCTTATCCATGCACTCTTTCATTTCAGTGGGCACCCCTTTCTTGGAATCTACTAGCTCTTTTGTAATTTCAATTCGCTGCTTTTGTAGCTCAATCATCTTTGACAAATTATTTTCAACTTCAATACCTGATACTCGATGACGAGAAATATTTTTAAACTTACACTTTAAACCTGATGGTTGGGCTTGCTACTTTCTGCTTGGAGTAGAAATAGGTATTGGTTGTGATGGTAGTTGTGTACCATTAAAAGGAACTTGTGTCTCTTCCACTACTTGTACCTCCTCTGATTCACTCAAATCTATCTCGTTACTGTGTGGCCCCTCAATATCATCTAATTCATTATCTGAACTAGTGCTTCCTTCACGCTCATTGAAGTCATCGGTAGTCCCAAACCACCAGCGCCCCTTAGATGTGTTACCTCCACATAGAAAATCCATATCATCAAACTGAGGAAAAGGTTTGTTCTTAATTCTTAAATACTCATCATTCTCCTGCGGTAGAAAATTCATAATAAATATATCATAGTTTTAATTATATAATATTCAAATGCTTTACTGGTAGAAATTTAAATAATACCTTTATCAGTGCCTCCCAATCTTTTGCGGTAGGTGCAATCACCATATTTTTACCTTCATCCCAACCCCAACCTGATTTATTTCGGAGTTTGTAATTAAGGGAATATTGCTTTTTCAAAATTTTATAGCGGTTTTGCATTTGTAGTTTGCCTCTGTCCTTTTGTCCAGTCCTAACTTTATACTCATCGGTTACATTTTTCCATTACTCGGTAGTGAAATGACCTCCATTGTTCTTTCCTTTAAGGACCATTTCCTTTAATATTCCCATCAAACAATTATCTTCCTCTATAGTCCAGTTCCTGGCACGAGGTCTTGACTGCCCACCTTCGGGTTGAGATTGTGATATGAAGTTCTTCTTAGCCATTCTAGATCATTAATGAGAATTTTAAAAGAAGTTAATCAATTGAACAATAAACTAATCAATTTTATAATCTATTAGAACTTTTTACACAATCTGTTATGGTTTAATATTGAGTTGGAAATACAAAGAAATACAAACTAAAACTATAAACTCAGTACCACTAATATTATATGACTTATGGACATAATTTAAAGAATGGCAGGAGACATTATAAAAGCATGAATTTCTTTTACCAAAATTGAGAAGATAAAATACAGTCTCATATCATACACATCTCTAACTAACCAAAGTTTTGTCATGAATGCACAAAATAATTGAAATTAACAACTAGTCAGTATTCTCTAATTAGGTGAAGCATAGCATAACATAGCTAATACTTCCAAGTGAGTACAAGTTAACGCAAAATGGAATCAGACATGTTACAGCCTGAGATCTTAAATCAAAACAAAATGTCATGTTAAACGAAGAGGAAAGGATTAGAAAATGAAGAAATTATAATTATAATTACAGCTATGATCAACATTCATTTAAACATAGAAACAATTATAATTATAATTCCATCACTCATTATCCATGAGACTGGCAAAACTAAGACGAAGATCAATTGAACATGATGCAAATCAAACCCCTTTTAATTATAAGAGTTAATCTAAATTATTAGGTAACACCCTTCCATCCCTTAAATATCTCATTCTTCCAAGTCCAAGCCAAATAAAGAAGCACAACATAAAGCT